CATCGGGCTCCCTGCTCAGCGGGAAGCCTGCTTCTCCCTCTCTCACTCCCCCTGCTTGTGTTCCTGCTCTCGCTATCTCTCTCTCTGTCAAATAAATAAATAAAATCTTTAAAAAATAAATAAAATAAAATAAAATCAGTATTTGAGCCTCCTACAATGATAGTCTCATGCCCAAATGGTCAAAAGAAAGTAATACCACTCCTGACTTCTAAGTCCTCACATTCAAAAGAAGAGGGCATCAGAAAGGTACATCGTTTACTGTTCTTGAAGAGTAATTAATAATTGACTTTTAATAAAACCAAGTGTAAACAATGTACCAAATTATTAAAACATTACCTTTTTAGCCTACGTAGGCCATGGATTCAAGATCATGAACTTAAAATCAAAACCAAGTAAGTCAAATCCAAGAGGATGAAAAGGGGCCATTAAGCCTGGTGCTCTGTAAATTAATACTTTGAGGTAAACTTAGAAGTATTATAGAAAATTACTATTTATTTAATGTTTCATTCTATTTGAAAGAGAAACTCCCAAATGTTCAATACTACCCTATATTTAAAAGTTAAAAATATACTGGAAATGGATGGAGTCACGATAGCACTGAGCACTTTGGGGGAGGATAGCTACAATCATAGTACAGTGTCATAGCAAAATATTTTAGATTTACCAGCTGAACTGTTAAATGTTTAATGTGTATTAGAAGCATTAGTTCCAAGGCAAAATGAAGCGATATTATGTTTAACTGTTTGTTTGGAAACTTCTTTTATTAAAAAAGATTTTAATAATGCTATATGCAATACAGGTGTGATAATACTCAATAAAGTATTGTGTAACTTGATATAGTGAACTTAGGAATGTAACAATCCATGTAGATGATGCCCATCCCCTCCTCCATTAGATCCCCTAGTAGCAAAATGTAAATACCCTTTTAAAAAATAAAGAGGCCTTTGAGCTGTTGGAGCAGAGTAGGGCAGGGCAAGGAAAGTGCTCTTTCCTGACATACTCTTTGCTTCTGGCTTTGACTTCATTTAGTAAGGTCAGTTCTCAAAGAACTTCGACAAACCCTTCTATGCTCCACAAAAGCACAGGAGAAGGAAAGCTTGTCATTCACAAGCAGCTATGGACAAAACCAGCAGCAGAGAACAGGGTTAGGGAAATGAGGGGGAGAAAAAAGTTGGAGTAAAGTGCACAGTTACTGTCAAAAAAATATATTATTTTGATCCTAAGAAAATTAAGAGAATTTTATCTAATGAATTAGATTGCTGACCTTTTAATACATTTGGTTTTCATGGAACATACAATCACCATCGGACATAAAAGACTAGTTTGCTTTTAAAAAAAAATTGCTTGGAGTTATCTACAGGAATCTTGTGAACGCAATTCAAGGATAACATTCTGCAGCTCTTTGGGTATTGGATGATTTCCTCCGGTAAGTCCACAAGGAAATAGGGAAATGTTAAATTCACCGATTCAAATGGGCATTTCCCCAAATCTCTGACTCTTTTGCCCCCTCTCGCTCCTTCTTTTCCTAAATGCCAGTACTTTCCAGTTCTCCATCCTCTACCCCTATTGCGTGAGACCGGGAAATCATGAAGAGTTTCTCCTTGTTTGTAAACTGCCTCTGCACCAGCTGAGGTGGCCGGGCCGCGGGTGGTGACCCTTGGCTGGGATCCTCCGGGGGGCTCTGCTGCCCCCCCGGGGCCGTGGCGGCCTCACAGTCTGGCCTTTCACGGGCTACTGTTTCCACAACCGACTCCAAAGAGGTGCCAGCCTCCCGCAGCGGGGTGTAGCCCTTATTGCAGCAGGATGGGTCATTCGACTGGGAGCTCGGCGAGTCCGGCCTGGCTGGGGGTGAGTCCTCCAGCCGCAGGGGCGGGGAGGGGGAGGCAGCTTTGGCCAGAAGGCTCGAGTCCAGCTCCGCGCTGCGCGGAGAGGGTGGGGGCTCGGGGGACGGTGGCGCCCGGTAGTCCGGGAGCCCGCTGGTGCTGCGGCGCCGCAGGGCCGCGTACCTGCCGGTCCTGGGCAGGCGGCCACCCTGCCCCCTGGCGGTGCGCGCCGCCGCTGCGCCCTCGGGCTCCTCCAGCTCGCGGGGCGCCCAGCGCGAGCCGCCCGGGGCACCGCGGAGGTCGGTCAAGCTCAGGTCGAGCTCGCCCCGCGGGATCTCCCGGGAGCCACGTTCCCCAGGCGGCCTCTGCCAGCTGCAGCTCGCGCCCTCCGCGTCCCCATCCCCGTCCCCGTCGCGGTCCCCTTGCAAGGGTAGTAGCGCGAAGGCGCTCAGCGAGGAGCCCACGAGGGAGCTGGCGGTGCTCTGGCGCCCCCAGCTCTCGGGTGGGCTGCAGGGCGCCGGGCTGCTGCTGCTGCTG